CTAGAGCCATGTTTCTGGGCACTCACAAGATGATATGCAAAAGTATAGCGGCTCCCACTGCTGCTGCATCGAGATCACGAGCTGTGGCGTAGCTAGTGTCATTGTTGCCGCGGTCGTAGTCATGGCCATTGTCTTCCTGGTCTTATCAGGAAGAAGCCCGTACTCTGGTGGAAAACCTTGTTGCCGGCGGCGGGTTCGTGTGTCGCGACTAGCGTCGACGTCTCTTTCATGGCTGGGGATCGGTTGACGACTTGACGGGGCGCTCGAAACATGAACGCACAGCACCTCCACCAGAAGTGGAGATGACGAAGGCAGCAGCAGGCAGTGTTTATTTGGCCGAACTTGTGGTCGATAAACGTAAGTCCGATTACAGCGATAAACACTGGCACCCATAGCGGTGAACAGAGCGTCAGTCGTCGATCAACTGACAAGCGGTGACGCACGCGTCGGCATTTAGACACGTGTCGTTCGATATTCCAGCGTTATTTCTAGCGGTCATGTATAAGCCCCAGAAGATTGATTGATATGTGGGATTTAACGTCCCAGAACCACTATATGATCATGAGAGACGCCGTAGTGGAGGGCTCCGGAAATTTAGACCACCTGGGGTTCTTTAACGTGCACCCAAATCTGAGCACACGGGCCTACAACATTTCCGCCTTCAGTCGGAAATGCAGCCACCGCAGCCGGGATTTGAACCCGCGCCCTGCGGGTCAGCAGCCGAGTACCTTAGCCACTAGACCACCGCGGCGGGCAAAAGCCCCAGAAGAGTCTGTAATGTTAATTTTTTGCATGTAATCCCAAGGTTATACGATTATCTCAATGGTGTTTAGTCCATCGGTGGGGTTGCAAAAAACGGCACTTCCACGAGGTCCAAGCACAAGTTGGCGAACTCAATCGATGCATGAATGGACTCCCTCAGATTCAAATGAAGCCATGAGTCTTAGTCAGTCCGGGTGAGTAATATATTGGTGAGTTAGAGTGAAGTGAGTCCGACCAAGGAAAAGTTTTGCAAGTCTAAGTCAACCCAAGGCACGATGTATTTCTTGAGTGGATCTGAGTGAACTACACTTTTGTTTGCAGACCTATGATTCTATACACTCATCTTCAGCATCACGAAAATCCTTACCCAGAAAACGTTTATTCTCACGTCTACTCACACGTACTCGAAAGCGCTCGTAAAAGATTTCAGTATATAATCAGAGACACCTGTTACGTTGGCGGGGCTTTGAACTTGCCTTCCCCCCCCAACTCTTTCTTGATAAATATATGCTGTGCTGTCACCTCATTCAAGAAAGATGTCCTTACTGCTTTGCAGCCACTAATAATTCTAAGCCACTGTACAAAAATGCACTAAGAAGAGACCAGATAGCATGAGATACTTGTGGTAAACAACGTCGACAACATGGTCAAAAAAGTCAATTCTAGACTAACTGACTCATGAGTCGACTCCCTCAGATTCACTCAGATTGAGCCATGCGGCTGATTGAGTTCGGCTGAGTAATAAGTAATTGAGTTTGAGTCCGAGTAAGCCCGGTCCAAGGAAATTTTTGTGAGTGCGAGTCCGAGTCAGTCAGGCTCAAGCAATGTCTGGTGCCAAAATATAATTCATGAACGAGTCTGAGAGAGCTCCCAAAATTCAGCCTATCTATGGGTCCAAGTATTATGTTGTAATGCAGTGTCAGGTGCTTGAATGCTACGCTATGCGGTTATTTTTTTTTCGACATCCGAAATTTCTTGGCACCACAAATGGAGTTGAAATTCTCGTAGCTGGCGTATACTTTTATGGTATGCTGTTCTAGTGCTTGACTATGACGTCGGAAACATAATCTTTCGAAGGGTAGAAGAACAAAGTGGTAATAGGGGGCACGGGGCGTCGAGTTTCCGCTCTGAGGCAGCCAAGAGCGGTATATGAACTGACCGGATGATCCTTAGCAAGCACAATTGTAGCATACGTATACCCTCGGACAACGTTTCTTGGCTGTGTCGGCGACGTGGCCGAGTGGTGAAAGCGATGGAATGCTAATTCAATTCAACGTTTCTTGGCAATGGGGGGAAAGCTGAAAGGGCGAAGCTTCTGCACATGTACGCATGCACGAAGTAGCCTGGTATGGCATGCGTTTTATACCGCTATGATGACCTTTATAGTATTGCTGTATAAAGCGATGGTTGTGCGCGACCAGCGTTTTATATCGACGCAGACACCGCTTGGCATTCGAAGTACGTGTAAAAGGCGTGGCTTTTTCACGCGGTACAAGGGTGCGAAGTGACAAAGAATAAATTAAAAAAAATTGGAATATCTTACCAGTGTGAGCTGCGTATTCTAGGAAATAGCCACATGAAAAAAAATGGAGGCAGTATTTTTCACATATAACGTCGAAAATAAGGCCACAATTGTAGGGCTATATTCATTAGTCGTAGCCTTCGCTGCACTGCCAAGTAAAGTTGTCTGTGACTATAATAGAGCATCGGGGCAGTAATAGGCAAACACGCAGTGCCTGACTGCAAACTGTTGACCATGCTGGTACTCTATGTAATGGGAGAACTGCCCCTATAAGAAACAGTAGGGTGGTTTTACTGCACGAGATATTTCACTAAGCTACTAACCCTCGACATTGGAAATCTGTATTGCGTAATTTTACAGTGCTTAATGCATCTGATTACATCATATTTGTGAGGCATTCATTCTGGCCTCGATAAAACTACCAAGATGACTTTTCTACGTTAAAGAATTACACCAATAGAAGTTAACTGTCCGGCCATTCCCGAATGGCAATGGGCTAAGTTTGTTCATTCCGAGTAATTGAAAAAAAGAGAAAAGCAAGAAGTTCTAATCCCACCGTATAGATTTTCAGTGGACAAGAGGTACACTAATAACAATGCAATTTCACATTTTTTTCTCACTGAATCAATAAGATTTATATTTTTAAAAATATTTTGCTTCATATGTTATACAATATGTTCCATTTTTAGTTCAATTCAAATTGTGTATTTCCTCTGGATATATGCTGAACTTGTGTGTGTATGGTAGTTTTGATGTTACTGCTGCTATGTGAGGCCCTTCAAGTGCGCTCACGCTGTATGACGTAGCTTTTCGCCTAAAGCACCCCCAGCCATTCAGCTGGAAAATGAAAGCAGTTGTGGTATAGAGAGAAAAATACATTTCTCACTTTTTTACTGAATACGTACATGCAGTACTTTTTTCCCCATAAAAGCAGTGTAAAAGCCAAAGCTTTCGTCACTCGAGACATTGTTCGCATTGTGATCATAACTGAAGCCAAAACGTGTTCTCAACACATTCCTTATTACGTAACGTCACTAAGTTTTCACCACCAGCACGCGAGTATATATATTTTGCTATAGAATTCGCCGCCAGCTCATTTTTTGTGTATCAAAAGTGTGGCGAATACGGAGCTAGGTTCGCCACGTACGTTACGCGAAAACTGAACAGTCGCATTGACGCATTTGCTCAACTAATTGCAAAATCAAAACATCTAAACAGCTACGCTTAGAATTCACATCAGGCAGTAAAGTAATCATCAATAAATGTTTATTCAGCCTTTTTTATGGAACTTTTCTGGTATTGGTTCTTCCTCGATTGCACTCTCCATCATGTTTTTACTGACCGGCGAAATCTCCTGGTGGTCGACCTTTCTAAACGATTCGATTGTTACCTTGTGGAACCAAGCCTTTTTTCTTTGATATACAGAATTCTGTTGCATTGCGAGACTTTCTGGCATTTAATGTGGCTTCGAAGTAGCTATATAGGCGCGGCCTTTTCTTTCTGGGCACTTCAAAGCGCCAATATGTAAAAGCTTTATTTGACCAATGGATTCGGGCACGTACGGCCCAGGGTCCCCGCACGACCCCCACTTCGCTATGCGGTCATGAGTTCATGTAGTTGCATGACGTGGGCCGGCCCGGTCATTGGCGTCTTCTGCTTGGCTGGATTCGTCGAGCACAGCATGGTCTCTCTTTCTTTCCATGACGGTCCGCCGGGCTTTCGAGGAAGATGTAGGTAAGGAAAGCGGGGGTGGGGGGTGGAGGGTGAGTGCATTGAGCACAGGACGGAGAGTGTGCTCCTGGGTAGATGCGGGAAAGGAAATAGGGGAAGGGAAGCGTGCGGGTCTGAAGGCGATTGTCCAGGGATCGGTGGGGTGGAGGGTATAGCTGGCGTTCTGCGCAGTATGCTTCAGTCATCTCGCTGAAGAAATGCATGCGCCCCATGGAAGAGCCAGACTCGAAGTTTGCCACACCTGGTTAGTGAGACCTTGGGCGTGGTCATTGGCGTCTTCATTGTCGGGATTTCAGGAGTGCGCAGACATCCAGATCAGCTCCACGTGGCGGGCCGGATGTTTGGGGACAAGCTGAGTATGCCGAAGTGGCATGTACTTGGCCTCGCGCAAATTTAGAATTGCGGATTTTGAGTCGGAAAGGGCCTACCGGGCATCAGTGCAAGTGAGGGCAAGTGCGAGCGCCGCTTCTTCCTAGGATTCCGGGTTGGATGCAGGAGGTACGCGGAGAGTAGCGATGGGCTGCAGTTTGCGATCAACGACTGAAACTGCCACGTCATCGCCCGTGCAAGCTGCATCCACCCATACGACATAGTTTTCGCAAGAAGTACCTCAATTATCACGTCTGATCTGATCAACTGTAGTCTCTATACAGAAACAAATAACTGCTTTAGTTCCGGGAATTATTCTTATTGGCCATTTCATGATATCTGCCGCCCCTGAAAGATAACAGTTGCTCGTACAGCCACGTTCGTGTTGTCCCTAATATCAAGTTCCTCTGCTCAAACGAATGTTAGCTACTCTCTCTGGTGAACACCGTTTTGGTCCAAAAAGAGAAGCGGAAGATGGCGTGCATATATTACGGTTTTCTGAATTTGAGAATATTCGGACACCTTTCTTGAATTATTTCGTATATTCCGTACTAAGGCAAAATATTTTAATGATCTTTTTGTAAACGCTTTCACATCTTGGCGTTGTTACATCGAGAACAGGGTCAACGAACCAGCGTTTATTTTTCAACAACAAATGCTACGGATACACGGGTAGATTGTTTGTCAAGCTTGCTGGCAGTCGGGGTAGGCGATGTCGCAGTCCTTTGCGGCCACGCCATGTAGAGCTGCTTCAACCAAGGAGTGGTCCACGGTTCTGTTAAAAAAAAGGAACGCATGTAATCATGTCATGCAGGAAATGTGTTCATGACACGGGTACTGCAGAAGATACTTATAGTACCACATGCATTATTGGCGTTTTTCACTGGCTGATGCGGAGCAGCTTTTACTGCTCCGTCAGCCATAGTGGAGGCGTGCCGTTAGTGAATAAGAAGTAGGCGAAAAAAAATCATATCTGGTGAAATACCGAGTTTTCAAAGACGACTCCTGGTTCCATACAGCAGACACTTATTCGAACAGTAGGACAAAAAACAGTGCTGCTTTACAAACCACGTGGCGTCCGAAAGTGCCATTTTACAATGGGGCCCCATAGGACTCTACGAGTGGTGTTCAATTGTCCTGGGAAGCCACATGATTTGTAGTACGATAGTGCCATTTTAGCAAATTGCATGAGTGGGTCTCTGCTGAAATAACGCGGAGCCGTTTTGGATTACTACTTTTTTTCAAAAGATAAAATTTTTCTCATAAATATTACATGCAGTTATGGCAGGCTGCCATTCTTGCAGCAGAGAGATGGCCTTCGTCCAGATGTTTTCAATTTCTGGTATGGGGACGATGTACGTGGGTGAAGAGACATAGAACGAGTCGACCTGTTTCCGTCGCTCGGAGGGCGCATGCGATAACATCCCGATCGGAATGCCTTCATTGAAGTAGAGAAGAAACGCGCCGCCCGTCTTGAACGAGCGTGAAATGATACCACGGGGAGGGTGGCTCACTCCAGCAGCAATTTTGATTCAAAGGTCGCAATCGCTGGCACGTGCGCCATCTTGGCAATCACGAGTGGGCGGCTCGTGTACACTTCGACGTGCTGCGCTCTCATCCCGATGAGACAGGGCAGAAAGAGCGTCTCTCCCCTGTTCCGCCCATACACTTGCACCAGTGTTCGTTCCGTACGAGTTACGTGATACAGGATCCAAGAGAGTTAACTGCCAACCTCACTTGATGTAACAGTACCATCTGTTGCTATCGCATTTATTGCTTCCCCTTTGCCGTTAAACTGAGCCATTTTAAGCGAAGCTTCTGTCCCTCACATATTTCAGTGTCGTACACGAGAAAACCAATGGTCACTGAAATGCGAATTGAAAATACGCCAGCCAAAAGCGCGTTTGTATACACCTTCCCTCGACAGCTGTTCTCTAGATCATCACCGCTTTTTCGACATTAAATTCTTGCCTGGACGCATGCACGGTCGTAGTTGTTGCCACTGCAGTGTAGGTTAAATTGCATGTATAACGAAATGAAAAAGTTAAAAGTTGCGCAATGCTCCATAAATATTATGACGTCACGCGAAGAACGGCATGCTGATTAAAATTTGAAGCTTGCTTCTTAAGCAAGGAGGGCGCACGAGAAAAACACGGCATGTATGCGAACTGACAACTAATGCGCTGCTCAAGCACAAAGTACTCACGAAACATTCGCACTAGACAAGCGCCAACTAAAAAGTGTCACAGTGGTTACTTCATGGTTCCTGAACAGCGCGCTGCTTTGCAAATGGAGCCTCCGCATCGTGCGAAGTGACCTTTGTGCGCTCTATAACCGAAACGCAGTCTTCAAAGACGGTGAATACACACGACATACAAAGTACTCCCATCAGAAAACAAGCACATGCTTAGGTTTGGGCACGGGTGACGACGCCGTTAGGCGAAGTAGTACAGGTTAACGAGCAAACGCATGGCAGTGAGTGAAGCGCCGAGGGCGCATTTCGCTCTGCCTCGCTTGTTCGTTTGCACAGAACACGCTGATATTCCTCCCAGATAGACGAACCACCGGCGGGGCAAATGGTGATGGACGAACAAGCGCTGTGCGCTTCTGGACTCTAACAGTGTTAACGCCGCACGCTGCGCAGCGAGAGCGGCGCTAACTTCACGGCTGCTATATATATATATATATATATATATATATATATATATATATATATATATATATATATATATATCTATATATATATATATATATATTATATGTATATTGTTACGAGTGACTCTGTTTATTTAAAGATGAGGTGAAATGGCGTTGTGAAAGAGCAGCGTACTTCTGAGACAGGCCTAGAACGCTTCACCCAACCACACAGTCCAAGCGCCGCTCCACTACTCTTCTTCTTCCGCGCTCCGTAGGCTCGCGCATTATCGTTTCATTTCCCCCGGCGGCAGACGAAGCTCACCGAGCGAGTTGAATGGGCCTATGATGGTACTGTTTGAGGCGGGCTACGTGAACAATTTGCGTAGTGCGCGATCGCCAGGTATTGTCTGTGACTCGGGCGACAACGTAATTCACGTCACTATATATATATATATATATATATATATATATATATATATATATATATAGAGAGAGAGAGAGAGAGAGGGGGAAGTTTTTTCAGTGGGCCCATTGTACTTTAGAGAAAAGACACAACATAGCGGTTGTCTTAATTTTATTTCCAACAGTTTCAAACTACCGGTGGACCGGTCTTCATCACTTTATCACGGTTGGCGAACAAGGTGCTCACAAAGCATGGCAATATATATATATACATATTGTCGCAGTACAACGCGAACAAAGCACAAGTACGCCTTGAGGCAGCGAAAGCAGCGTGTTCTCAACAGCTGAGCCACAAATCTTCTTCGTTCTCGCGTCAAGCCAGAGGCCCACTACCTGGTGTCCGCTAAATCCCCCCATCATCGTTTTTGTCCACATGTAGACACGGGTCATTTGCCTCCCTCTCAAAGAGAATCTACCCGATGCGAAGTCAATAATGCAGTTTTTGTTAAAAGATAAGTCTCACGCAATCACTCGCTGACGTAAGGCTTCATGCGCACTACGTGAACGAGTTCAGGATGGGGCTGGCGACGATTGGTACTACACGAATTGTCGGGAACAACTTCGTAAGTGACGTCACTCAGTTGTCGCAGCACTCGGTATGGCCCAAAGTATCTTCTTAAGAGCTTTTCTGATAGTCCTCGTTTCCGTACGGGTGTCCAAATCCATACTTTGTCGCCAGTTTGATAGACAACTACTCTGCGGTGAGCATTGTAGCGGCCTGCATCGTACTCTTGCTGCTGGCGGATCCGTAAACGTGCCAGTTGTCTAGCTTCTTCCGCGCGTTCCGTAAACGTGTTGGCGTCTGGGTCGATGTCGTCACTTTCGTGCAGCAGCATCGCATCTAACATAGTTCGTACTTCTCGTCCATGAACGAGGCTGAACGGGGTCATGCGAGGCTGAACGGGGTCATGCGAGTCGTTTCTTGCTTGGCCGTGTTGTACGCAAACGTTATGTATGGCAAGATTTCATCCCATTTTTTGTGTTCAATGTCTACGTACCTCGAAAGCATGTCTTCAATGGTTTTGTTCAGACGCTCCGTCAGCCCGTTTGTCTGTGGGTGGTAGGCAGTGGTCTTACGATGCGTTGTTCCACTCAGCATCAGGACGTGATCCAAGAGAGCTGCCGTAAATGCGGTTCCTCTGTCTGTGATCACAACGGCTGGTGCACCATGCCTCAGTACAATATTTTCGATGAAAAATCTTGCCACCTCCACTGCTGTACCTCTCTGAATAGCTTTTGTCTCGGCATAACGGGTCAGATAATCCGTCGCGACGATAACCCAGCGGTTTCCTGCAGTGGAAATAGGAAGTGGGCCCAAAATGTCCATGCCTATCTGGTAAAATGGAGCTGTTGGGACCTGCACGGGTTGCAGTAGGCCAGCTGGTTTAGTCGGTGGTGACTTGCGTCGCTGGCAGTCGAGACAGGTACGAACGTGGTGCTTCACGGCTGTGGTTAGTCTCGGCCAGTAATACCTTTGCTGTACTCTGGCCAGCGTTCACATGTAACCCAAATGGCCAGAGGTCACCTCGTTGTGGCATGCTTTGAGTATTTCGGTACGAAGGGCTGCTGGTATGACGAGCAGATAGACGGATCCTGTCCACGAAAAGTTTCTTTTGTAAAGTACTCCGCCCCGTAAACAAAACGATGACAATACTCTTGCGAAAACTCTTGGCACCTTCTGAGATCTTCCTTCCAAGTAGTTAATTAAGCCAAGCAACTCAGTGTCGTCACGTTGTTGCTGCGCAATGGCGGTCGTGTCGAGGACACCGAGAAATGCCGTTTCCTCCTCCTCGGGTAGAGTTGCCGACTCAATGGGTGAACGGGACAGACAGTCGGCGTCCATATGTCGCTTGCCTGACTTGTGCACGACCGTCACGTCAAACTCTTGCAGTTTTAGGCTCCAACACGCTAATCGGCCGGTGGGATCTTTTAGATTAGTTAACCAGCAAAGGGAGTGATGGTCACTAATAACTTTGAAGTGTCGGCCATACAAGTACGGGCGACATTTCATTACTGCCCATACTACGGCGAGGCATTCTTTCTCTGTTGTTGAATAGTTAGCCTCTGCGCGTGTTAGCGTTCGGCTTGCGTAGGCGATCACTCTTTCTGTGTCCTCTTGTCGTTGCACAAGCACAGCCCCAAGACCTACATTGCTAGCGTCTGTGTGAAGCATCGTCGGGGCTTCTTCGTCGAAGTGGGCGAGCACAGGGGGCGTTTGGAGACGTTGACGCAGGTCATTAAAGGCAGCCTCCTGTTCTTCTTTCCACTCAAAGGCAACATCATTTCTTGTGAGACGAGTTAGTGGCGACGTGATGCGGGCGAAGTCTGCGATAAACCGGCGATAATAGGCACAAAGACCTAGGAAGCGTCTGACAGCCTTCTTATTGGAGGGTACTGGGAACTGTGCGACGGCGGCAATTTTTCCAGGATCGGGCCGGACGCCTGCGTTGCTGACGACGTGACCGAGAAACTGAAGTTCGTGAAAACAGAAATGGCACTTTTCTGGTTTCAATGTTAGGCCCGCGAACTGTATGGCACGTAAAACAACTTCCAGCCTTTTGAGATGCTCGTCAAAAGTGGTCGAAAACACTATAACGTCGTCCAGATAGACTAGGCACGTCTTCCACTTCAATCCCGAAAGTACCGTGTCCATAAGCCTTTGAAAAGTTGCGGGCG